GGGTGAAATTTTTTTTTGGAAACTTGGGGGGGGACCCCTTTTCCTTTTGGCCCACCCCGTTGTTTCCCTTTTTTTTTTTTCCCATAAAAACCTTTAATTCCTCTTTCCAAAAGTGCCCTTTTTTGGGGGGACCTTAAATCCCCAAAAATTTTTTTTTGGTGGTTCCCCCCCCCCCCCCCCCCCTACTCTCATTCGCGTGCCTCCCCCCCATCTTCTTTAGCAACCGAACAAGAACTGGGACAACGGCGGATCAATGGGATGGGGTCCGGAATCCCCGCCAGAGAGCGGGGGCGCGTCAGGCGGAGCGGCGAAAGGGACCGCGCCGGTAGCCGCGTCGGCAGGGGGCCGGCGGCAACTGGACAAGCAGCGGCTCATGACCGCCGTCCTGTTGAACCGAAACATCGTGGAGTACAGCTCTGGGGCGCGGCTGGTTGTGACCAACTTGCCCCTGGTGGCCGACATGCACGCCTCCGAGGTCCTCCAGTACGTGGACGCCGTAGGGTCGTCGATTGCGCCGCTTCTCATGATTCGCGGGGCAGGGGTTGAGGTGGTGACGCAGTACGGATGAAGTTTTTTTTTTTTGGGGGGGGGGGAAGGAAGGGGTAGTTCTGCTCTGCGTCGAGGCTTAAAGACGGGGGCTGTTCTGCTCTGCTCTAGGGCGAGGCTACTTGTGCAGCTTCGGGCAGTTTGTATTCGTAGCGCGGCTTGGCGTGGCATGTGTGGCATCATTTTTATTGTATTGTTGGCTTTCGCTCTTGACTGCTGCTCATCTTTTTAAGAAGTTCACGCAATTTGTCTTCGTTAGTGTGCAATGTTGAAAACCGCTTGTTGTGTGGAGGGGGGGGGGCAGGACGTTTTTCTTTTCTTCGGCTGTGTCTGAACATTGCTTTGCAAGCACCCCCCGCTGTAGTCAAATGGCCTATATTGGGGGGGGGGGGGGGGGGCTGGCCCCCTGCCGGGCCCCAATTTTAGGAAAAATTTGGGACCAAGAAAAAAGGGGGGGGCTTCCCGGAACACAAACCAAAAGGCCCCAAAAACTGTTAATGCGGGCCGGCCCCGGGCCAACTGAAAAGGATTCCCCAAAAAAATTTATCCCCCCCCAAAAAGACCCTTCCCGGAAGAAGGGGAAAAAAAAGGAATTCCTTTAAGAAGCCTGGGTCCACCGGGGGCGCAATCC